ATTTGTCTACCCGACCCGACTTTTCAGGTCGGGTCGGGTCGGGTCACAGGTTGACCTGACCTGATTCGGAGCTCTAAAAACTGGTTTTTATTTGACTCAAAGACGCCTTGAACCTTTCGAATATTTGACATACCAAAAAATAGCATTAGTTCTATTTCACCATTATCAATACGAACAAAATTTCCAATAACTCTGATTGTCTTATCTTCTTTATCCTTTAAGGTAACTGACATGTCTGCATATCATCCTTATGAATCAGTGATATGCTTGGAATTGCTCTATATAGCAAAATTAGATGGTTTATTAGCCTTCCATCTAAACGCCTTTATTGCTGGGTCATTTATACTATCGAACTCACTGTCAGGATTTAAAAAAGATTCAAAAATAGTTAAGATATTTATATTAGTATTTAGATATTGTAAAGATAACAACTACTCATCTGATTCTTTCGATTCCTCCTTCTGAGCCTTTCAAGATAAGCACATTTTTTGTATTGATGGTAAGAGCTTAGACAATAACTAATCATATGTTTCAAGCTGGCTAGTTATCAGATGTAGCCTATTATTTATCAGTTTCTGTTTTTTTACCGATGCATAATACTACCTACTTTCTTCTAGATTATCATAAACACCCCCACTATATTTCTCATTATCTGAACCTGAAAGCATAAATTGGGAATTTATAGGTTTGAGAGATTTGAAATAAGAATGATTGAAATTAGATTGCATTATGACCTGTTTTCTCACAAATATCATATTTATGAATATTTAGTTTCTTAAAATTGATTGTTAATTAATTTGCAGCATCACAAGTAAGGTTGTTAAACGAAATCAAGAGTTTAGACAAATGTCTAAATTAAAGATGATACTGTAATTAAGAAGTTGCAACTCAGTAAGTTGCAACTTGGGTTGCAACTGGTTGCAACTTCTTGTAAAATTTATTTTAATATAAAAATTCATAAATAATTGCAACTCAATGAGTTGCAACTTAAGTTGCAACTAGTTAAAAATTTTAAAATTAATTACAGCTCCATCTTTAGTCTAAATGATAAAAGTAAAACTTGGTTAAATTATATAAAAACCTTATTAAAAAATTTGCGAAATTTGAAAAAAGGTAAAACTATATCAAAGCTTATAAAAATGCCGAAACTATATCAAACACTTAGTAAAAATTTAGTAAAACTAAAGGTTTAATCATTTTGCTAAATCCAAAATGAGTTTAGACAAGCAACCTTAATCATGAGTTTCATTAAGTCCATCTTCGATCCTATTAATCTACTATAATTATTATTTCGCTGTAGATGAGGTCTTTGAAAAAGTTTTACAGGATAATCTGAGTCTAAATCTTCCTTATTAAGTAAACCCACTTCTTTCAAGTATTCAGCTATATAATAATTTTTTATATCTTCTTCTGTTTTCAATAAAGATGGAGGACCTTTCAGCTATCTAACTGGCTTAACAGTTTGCAGAGCTGATATCTGTGCTTTTTGAGTAACTGTTTTCTAGGACATTTATGATTGAAAATCAGCTTTTTACTTTTCTAATAAAGACTAGTATTCAGTTTTTTGCTGTGTCAGTATGTTTTGAATCGCTTTTTGCATATCTTCTAAAGAAATTTCTTGCTGTTAAGAAGGTGAAGATTCATATATTTGCTGAGATGCTTGTTAAGATATTAGTGGATCAGCTGTTCTATCTCTTTTATGTCTAACTATTCGACGTAACTCTATTTCATAAAGCTTTTTGGATAATACTTCTAATGTCAAATGTTTATTGATATCTTCAGCTTTTTCAAGCCATGATAGTGGAAGAGCATGTAAGAACTTTTTACATAATTCTTCAGGTCTATAGTTAACTTGTCTACCTATTTATAATATTTTTCTATATAATTCATCTATAGTCATATTTCCCTTTGTGATCATTTCATACATCATATCCCAAAGCTCTTCTTCTACTGTAGGAAAATAAGTTTTTAGCTACCATACAGCTTGATCAAATCGAATACAACAACTACTATAGTACCATTACTAGCATTTGGTAGATTAACATGGGTATTAGTAGGAAGACCTCCTGTCACATGTCAGTCTTCATCTCAAGGACCTTCTACAACTCTTAATTTGACTATTGCATTTCCAGATTGTCCAACTGCCTCATTTAACCTATCTGAAAAGCTATACATCCATTTACTATAACCAAATTGTCTTATCCTATACCATAAGTCAGATTAGTTAACTCCCAATTTGTCTTTATAATAATTTCCTTATCAAACCATTCTAGGGTTCTTCCACTCATACATCCTCTTAAATACCCTATTGCTACTTCTCTTCCAGTTGGTAGAGCGCTTGCATTATCTGCTGAATTTACACCTTGATTTTGTAAGTATAATTTAAGTTTTGCAAGAAAATCTGGGATATCATCATCCCACTTAATAAATAGTTGGGGAATTCCTGCTATGTTTAGTTGATTAGGTGGATTATTCTACAGCGCTAAAATTTGTTTTTGCAAATTTAAAATATTTTGATCCTTTTGCCTAATCACTAACTGAAAAACAAACTTTTCACATAATAACTCAGCAATGCAAGTTTGTTTTCTTGCTATAATAATTATCATTCTATTTACCTGATTTTAGGCATTGGTCTACAACTAATAGGTATTTTGCTGAAGACAGTTTATATTTCACTGATATAATAATCAGAAAGTAAAACTTTCTCGTAATAACTCATCAATATGTGTTTGCTATATTACCTATCATTCTATTCACCTGATTTTGAGTATTAGTTTGATATTGCTGAAGATCACCAACAACTCTATCTATTGCTCTTTCAGCAAGATTTCTTCATATTATTTTATTATCCCTTTCAGCTTCTGCATCATAATGCCTTCTCTGTTCTCAGGTTAAATCCTGTTGCAAATCATTAAATTTTCGATGAATTTGTCTTGTTGCCCTTTTATTTGGTCTGATAAGATATCTATATGTATTGTCCTATTATTTTCATAACCATCTATAGCATCTGCTAGCTCTATAATTGTGGTCATATTATCATTAGAATTATACAGGTCAAGAGAATTCCCTCGTACTAGTGAATTTTTCCTTGATGAGATAGTTCTGATCTGACATCACAATCTTTCTACCTGCTCCTCAGATTCTACTAACTGTTTTTCTAAACTAGAGACATACTTTTCCTTATCTTGCATATCCTTCTTAGCTTAATATAACTGACTTTTTAGACTGGAGATTTCAGATCTTAGCTCTGCTATCTCTTCTTCTAAAGTATTCTCAAGACACTCTATGTCTTTATTAAGATCTTAGGTTTCCTGCTCACACTGGCTATATTCACACTCCAGTTGATTAAACCATTTCTCATTCAGGCGATTATTTTCTATCTCTATCTGTAATGCATCTTGATGATGATAGTTATTTTCCTCCAACTTGGCTTTATATTTTTCATAGGTTCTTCTATCTTAGATGAGATCTGTGAAATGTCTTTCTTTTTTTTGTTATTATAAAAAAGATTTAGAATGGAAGAATCCTTGATTTATATCGATCCTCAAAAAGCACATAATTTTAACCGAAATCTCGTCTTACAAAAGCTGTATTATCAACCTGAAGGCTTTTACCAAAATATTAAGAGATTATGGAATGCATATAAAAAAACTGAACATATTATCCTATTTACTGATGTAAAAAAATGGCTTGATACTTAAGCAATATATCAAATCTTTTGTCCTTTACTTAAGCATATACCTTATACTAGCTATTCTAGAATCACAAAACTGAATACTATACATCAGTGTGATTTGATCGAAATACCATATGATGATGATGATATGAATATAGATTTATGAAATAATAGTCCAATCTTTTATTATGTATTGTTAGTTATAGACTGTGTGACTAGATATAAAGATTTCATTTTTTACATCAAAAAGTAGTGAAGAAGTTGCAGAAGCTTTTAAGAGTTTATATGATAATTCTGACAATTCTCTCAACTGGCCTCGAAAAATACAATATAATCAAGGTCGCGAGTTTATAAGAAGTGTAATGTTGATAATGGATGAACATAATGTTAATATTTGAAGGATTATAGCACATTTCAGACACACAAACTTGGCTATGGTTAATCATTATGCTGGATTATTCAAGTTTAAAGTTTTAAAAATCAATATTCAATAGAGTTTCTCCTACTTACTGGTAAACGTTGTAAGGAATGTGAACAATTTGCAAGAAGAATTGTTGATAATATGAATAATACCTCAACTCAGTTAATTGGAATGAGTTCTAATGATGTCACAAAACTTGAGCGGGTGTATTTCAAGACATCAGTAAAATATAATCATCCAATAGATGTTGATGAACCACAGCTACCAAAGGGTACTACTATCTGATTTTGCTTGCCTCTAGAGAGTAGAAAAATGATCCTTTTAAATGACATAGAATAACAGATCCAATATGTCTCCCAGCCTACATAAAATTCAAAGAATTATTGTTGGAAAGAATCCTCTGATGCATGTTTTGTATTATTTAGACAAATTAGGACCTCAGGGTCCCTTTGTAAGAAAACAATTAATACATATTAAGGAAGAGCTATATTGCCTCCTAGGTGAGTATTGGGAGATAACCAAATATGCATAAAGCGCTCCTTATAAAAGTTCTAAGTCTATTACACAGTAAGGGATTGTAATAAGAATTACTCCTTTCTGATAACATAATGCTCTCTTTTCCCAATCACATCAGATTTGTGCATCTAAATTCATCTGTTCTTGTGAGTGAAAAAAAGGCACGATTTGGTAATATTGGTTACCATTATATTTGAAGGCCAAACCTAGTTCTTTATTGTATCTATCTAGATGTAAACCTTCTAAAAATTTAGGTTTTGAAGTGAGAATTTTTTATTTAATAAATCTTCGAATATATACCAAAACGTTCTTTTCAGTATATTAGGGTAAATATTACATCATCTATGTTTCTGTTTCATATTTTTATATAACACATCCCATTGATAATCCTTTTTACATATCTATAAATAAATGTTAGAATTACTACTAACTCTAACTAAGCACCTTCCTTCACGTTTTTGGATATAGGCTAAAGTTTTGGTATCAGTTCTGATATAATATTGCATTTTATAGACGCAGAAAAATCAATCTGAATATATGCAAATCCAGATTGCTAGTTCAGAAGTAAAATTAAACTTGGCTATTAGTATTGCATAAGCAAAAAAAAATAAATATCTTCAGTACTTTTAGCGGAAGTGGGATCAGGCTTCTACCTCGTATCAATGTTCAGAACTAGGTAAAGAGGCAGGTTACCATTAATACATTCATGAGAATCGGGTAATCCATAAATCTCAGAAGGATGATCAACTAGTGTAAAACCCTTTCCAGATACTTGAATGATATATTTATCAAAAATCTCTTCAAGATGATAAGTGCCTAAAAGAGCGATATCATCTTTACTATTAGTTTCTAATAAATGTTGAAAATATGTATGATCATTATAGCCTGACTCAAAATCAAGGTCTGCTATACCTGAAAAGAGCCTTATTGCTTCATTTATTTCTTCAAGATTAGGTTAAAAATTTTTTTGTACAAATAGCATGATAGTATGTGAAAGAAATTAATATAAAATTACATAGAAAATTCCAAATGTTCAAAATAAAAATTTTATATAATTTTAAGCGAATACGCTTGCTGGAAAAATACTGGGTCAGTGGTAGTTAGGGTTTCGCAATTCGATTTGATATTTGAATATTTGATTTGAAAATCAAATCAAATACAAATTCAAATTCATATTTGATTTGATTTGATTAAATTCAAATCAAAGAATGATTTATTTAATCAAATCCAAATCAATGTTTGATTTGATTCGATCAAATTCAAATCAGGTATTCAAATATTTGATTTGATTCGAATC